CCCGCGTTGCCTGGCTGGCTGGCTGCTGCCTGCCTGCCTGCCTGCTTGGCTGCCTGGCTGCCTGGCCCGCCCCGAAGCCAAAAGTCGCATCAATTCGTGCGGCTGAATGTACGCGTCGGAACGGGGGAGGGGGGGAGGGGGTCCACAGAGGAAGGGGAAGGTGATGATTCTCACTGGCCGCCCCAGTGTGTCCCCCACAAGAGCGACCCCGTTTGTCAGCTTTTTAAATGGTCGCCCCTCCCCCTCCCCCCCTTCCCCCCCGCGGCACCCCTAACGGAGGCCAAGAGACGTCGCAGGCAGGCAGCGCGGAGCCAGGGAAGGGGGCGGAGGGGGGCCTTGGACGTGTACACTAGCGGGGGGGATGGACTGTGACAGTGAAATTGGGGCTGCGGGGGCGTAGGGGCGCTGCAGTCACTCTGGGAGTCTGTGAGCGTGTGTGTGTATGTGTGTGTGTGTGAATGTGTTGGCGGGTGAACAGGTCAGTAAGGCGAAGTTCCGCCCGCCTCGCCACTCTTTCGGGACAGACAAACAGTTAGCAAATCTTGCGAGCCGCCGCCCGACTGCCGCCCCCTCCTTTGCGTCTCCTCGTCCCCCCTGGGTCCGCGTCCATGTTTTCCTTGTTGTTTTTTTTTTCTCGCGGAAGTTTGTAGAGGAAGCGAATATTGCCGGACAGAGCGGTTTGCTGGTCGGAGTGAATAACGCTGAACCCCGCGACCCGAACTTTTCCACGTCGACTATAATATACATAAAAAAATAATTGGGAAAATAATAATAAAGGAGCGACAAAATAATGCTCGGAGTGGCTAAAAGAGACCTATTTATCGGCGTAAACAACGTGGTTTTAAAATTCGAGTCGCGGCCGCGAAGCGAAGCAGAATCCGATCTGATTGCGGTATCTGGCGGACGCAGCCGCGCGGCGAGAGGCGAGTGCGGTGTGTGTTGCTGCTGGCGCTGCCGGCCGCGTCCGCACGCGTTGGGTAAACGCGTAACGCTCGCCCTTCCGGACGCAGCCCCGTTTTCCAATAAGCGCACCACGGCCTGGGCCTCGTCCGCCAGGTCCAGGTCCCCGTCGGCCCGGCCTCGAGGCCCAGGCGGCCCGAGGTATGCCACCGGGGCGCCGGCCGGGCCCCAGGTACCTCCGGCAACCTCCGGCCTTCGGGGGAACACACTGCGAAAATGAGATGGCTCCATTTGGCCGTGCGACAACGTGGCGGCGGCGCAGCACAGTGGGCCAGAAGACCGGTGGCGGCGACTCTGAACCGTTTCACGAGCAGTGTGCCCTCCCTGCCGCGCGTGACGAACGCAGCAAAAACACGGACTTTCTATTGACTGTCGACGGTGACCAGCGTCCCCGTGTTGACCTGTTGACGCGCTCCGGAAAGCAAGCAAGCCCGGCCAGTGCAGTGGGCGGCAGCCAGCGCCGCGGCAGCGCGCCGGTCTTCATGTCCTTTTTCGCGCGTTTTTTCCCCCCGTCTTTTTTTCAGTGTTTCTTTTTCTTTTTTTTCTCTAAAGCATTTCTACCTTGTTTGCTGTTCCGGTCATTCCTATTCCGTGCGGCCCGGGCCGGTTTGGGCGGGGAGGCGTTCGGACTCCGCGCCGTCCGCGCTGACAACCCCCAAATGAAATTTGTCAATAGCGTCGCCACGTCGCCGTCGCCGCCGCCCTCTGCTGACCACGCGTTCCTCCGAGGCGGCTAGGCGCCGTGGCGGTGCGGCCCGGCCAGCCACGCTCTGCTCTGCCCCGCCTCGCCGACGCGGAACGAGCCAGTAATTAAAAGGGAGCTTACGTCATCGAAGTTTATTTTAGGAACCATCCTTATCATGCCGCGGGAAGAAAAATAAAGTAAGAACGTCTCCCCGTTAAAATTTTCGCGCGATTCGTGGAAATTGAATCAAAGTAACCGCGGGGCGTCTGAATTATTCGAAGAAATGAAATCGTGTGGCGGCCGCGCCAGTTGTCCTTCGGTTTGTTTTATTCTTTATTTATTCGGTTTATTTTATTGTATTATCACTGTTCAGTGTTCTGCAGACACGTACCGGAACGAAGACAAGAAGGGTGGGTTCGGAATAAGTGAAAGTCGGTCCGCGCGGGAAGGGAGGGGAGGGGGAGGGGGGGCAATGGAACGGAAGGGGTGGGGGAGGGTCTACTTGGCAAAGACCTACCCCGACGCCCAGCGTTTATGATAAGCTTAGTTAAAGTTGGCCGCGGTCGCGCCCAGTTTGTGTCCCGGTTGCCCCCCTCCACCCCCCCCCTCCCCACACCGAGTCCGCAGAAAAGTACAGGGAAGGGGGAAGCTGGGAGGGCTACTCAGAAAAACATGACTATTATACCAAATACTCTTTTCACGTTGGCACTTTTTCCATCGGATTTCCAACCTTAATATTTGATTTTTTTTTAAACACCTGTCTCAGTTTACATGTGTATAAATCACTTTTTTGGATGACAACGACATGTGTGAAAACCAGCACAGCACACCACACTGTCGAGAGATAGGAACACGATGTGGGTCATCACGCCATCGGCCACTTTTTTTTTCTTTTTTTTTGTCCTTTTTTCGTGTTCTTTATTGTTCTTTTTTTCCGTCCGCGCTGCCCTTCCATTTTTTGGCCGTGATGCGTGGCGGATGTTGATTTCCCATTTACGTCCCGTTCCACTGTGTTCCACTAAATCGCGCCCGTCATCCAACAAAACAGCGCAACATTCAGGCCTTGTACACAGTGCGTGTTTGCGGCCCTCAATCCAAGGCCCTACTCCGCACACCTCCTACCCTCTCCGTCATTTTTCTCGTTTCCGAAATCACAAAACAGGCAAACAAAAAAAAAAAAATACACGGCCGCCGCCGAGCGTCGAACCCGCGACCTCTGCCGTGAGAAGCCGCGACGCTAACCACTGCGCCATTGTCGTGCTGGGAGAGCGAGGTTCAAATCCGCGTAGTCGCGTGGCGCTTCACACGGACGCATTAATATTCATAAACCAGCCGGCCTGGTTCGGCCTGTATTTTCATGCCGAAATCCGAATTACGCGACGCAGCTGCGGGTGCGTGTCGGCGAGGAGGGTGTGAGAGAGAGAGAGAGAGAGAGAGAGAGAGAGAGAGAGAGAGAGAGAGAGAGCAGTGAAAGACAGAGGCTGGGCAAGCCGAGCGTGCCTGGCAAACAGTCACGCTTCACGCTCCCTGACTTCACCTCAAAGTGGGAGTTGACTCGCGGGGAAGCGCTGCCACTTCAAAGCCTCGTCTTCATCACGCGTCAAGTCGGACAGCAAGTCAAACTAAAAGGCGGGGGAGAAAAAAGTCGTTTGCTCGGTATTTGAACCCCAGTATCGCGGCTCCGCGCTTCGAGGACTCGCAGTGAGAGGGTTGTAGTGCCATTGACGCCGGACGCGCCCTGCCCGGCGACGCCACTGGAGGCCCTGCTACCCTTGGCCGCGTCATTCCGCAGAGTCGCCCCGTCGCTCTGTCTCTGTCGCACTCACGGGGCGGCCCGGTGCGACAGAGACAGAGCGACGGGCCCTCGGAATCGCTCGGCTGCAGCACGACGGCCTTTGGCTGGCCTAGTCCCTGGGACGCATAAAGCCGACGAATTTTCTTCTTCAAGGGTTGAATCTGTCGTCCTGCAGCAGCCCACGTTGCCTTAAAGCCCCCGGAGGACTCGCGGCGGGGCGGGGCGGGGCCTCTCAGGATTTTGAGTCCAGGATTCTCCTGCCTCCAGCGGTCTGCCGAGTAAAAACCTGTCCTTTCTGGTCGGGCCCCGGTTCCTCCGAGGACGACAGTTTCCCGCGCGGCTGGAGAGTGGGAAACGTTTCGGTTCCCGGAGCTTGCCTGGCGGCTGCCTCTCTTATTTGAAGGGGGGACGAAAATGCGTCTCTGTTTGAACACGGTCTGAACGGCGTTTGCTCTCAGAGTCAGACATCGGCTGCGGGATAGTGCTAACCTGCTCCCTCTTATGAAGTGTCGGGGGACGAAAGTGGGAGGGGGTGAAGAGGCGTGCACACTCACGGGAACACACACCGACGTGGCGATGGCACGCCGGTGTGCATGTGTGTGTGCGGCTGTGTGCGTGCGCGCGTGTGTGCAAATGACGGCATTCAGGGCATCTATATGGGGCTCAAACACCCCGCTCCCGTGGCGCTGCGGCGCGGCGCGCACCAGCGGCAGAGGTGCGGCTGACAACACTAACACACAAACTGATACGTGGCGGACACAGACACACTCTCTGACATACACTCCACCCGCCCCCACACACTTACACTTTCACACACACACACACACACACGGCACACCGGGTGAAAATGAGAAAAGGGCAGAGGAGTGAGGCAGGGCCTGGCGAGGAAGACATGGAAGAAGTAACACAAAGGGAAATAAGAGAAGCGGAGAAAACACACACACACACACACACACACACACACACACGACACTCCTCGGTGATACATACATCCGGAGACGGAGACGTCCTGGCGGCGGAGCGCGGCGGTGGAAGTGAGAGGAGAAAATACGTCCTGGGGCAACTTGCACACGGAGCAGCCTGGCACTGCCGGGCATCCTGGCCCTGCTTTCAACCGCCACTATCCTCCTTCTTCTTCCTCCTCCTCCTCCTTGGGGCAGGCCGTCGCCCTGCTCGGGGTCCGGGCGAAGGCCCCTCCTGGATTGCGTCTAGATCGACGCGTGTGGCGCCCCATTAGCTCGCAGTAATGGCGGTCAATGCTCGCGCGCTCGCGCAGCTCGCCGAGGTCAGGGTTAGGGTTGCCATCCTCCGTCCCCGAACCCAAAACCTCGAACCCGAAACCGCGGACCCCGATGAACCCCGAACCGCAGCCCTTGCATGCCCGTCGGCCGCCGTCCGGCGACGTCCAAGATTTCTTCTTTTTTTTTGCGTTGTGAAAGACAAACAACCACCACAGGAAATGGAAATCTGGAGTGGCTCCTCCGTCAGAGAGAGAGAGAGAGAGAGAGAGAGAGAGACAGAGAGAGAGAGGAGAGGGCAGTCACTCCGGGACGGACTTACCAGAGCCGGGCACGTGGATGTTGAGGTTGAGGCAGTCCTCGCTCTGGCGGGTCAGGAAGGGGGCCAGCTCCTTGAGGTGCAGCAGCCGGCCGCGCGGCATGAGCTGCAGCGCCGAGGTGCGGTTGTTGAGGTCCTGCACGGGCATGCGCTGCGGGCACACGGGGCCGAAGGTGTCCGCCAGCCGCGTGCCCGTCCAGGGCGGCGGCGGCTGCGACGGCGCCAGCCTCAGCGGCCCGATGGGCGGCGCGGCGTATGGCACTCCGCGAAACACCTGCCGCGGACACATATGGACCATTACTAAAGTGTGTCTTCGGCGAAAAAAACAAAGTTATTACAAAAAAATTAGAGTTTCAAATAATATTACAAAAAAGAATTCCATTCACAAAAAATGTCTAAACACCTGTGGGATTTGAATGTCATTGCGACCCCATAACTAGTATAGAGGTACTCTTGTATACAATCAATGCGATACATAGCAACTCCAATCCAACTTATATCCACTGAAGCCAGCTCTTTCGCAGCCGGTGAAGTAAGTTAGAGTCATATCCGCAATCCAATCCTAGTCCACTGATGCCAGCAAAGTCCTAACCTCTTTCAGACCATATCGTAGCCAAGTCCATTCTCTGCAGTCCAAAATCGTCCGAGTAGGGATGGTCTCGAAATCTGCACGACTCGAGGAGTGCTTGGGCATTAGTTGGATAGCGTCTGAAAGATCGTACGGTAGGAGATCTGTCATAGCTGTTAGTAGGTTGGTGACATTGTTCGGATAGACGTCGCAGAGGAAATCGTCACGGTAGGGTTGCACTCCCGTCAGTAGGACGGGAACATTAGTCGAAAAGATGGACCCCGAGGGAAAGTCCCTGTCCGTAAAGTCTCACGACCCGTAGAGGCGCTTGTGACCAAGGGAATGCCAAGATCTCTTCGTTAGTTTGATTGTAAGAACAACTAGGATTAGGTAAAGGAGTGGTCACCATTTAGGAGAATAAGATGCAGAGAGAGGGTAGAGAGAGCCGTTAGGTTAGTGATTGTGGAAGTTTCATGAATAGTTCAATAGAGAGTTTACGAGTACAGACTGTCACGAGGAGTTAGGTTAGGCGTCTCCATTGGGGGTAGAAGGGGGATCTTGAGGAGGCGGCCTGCAGAGTTGCGAGGTGGTTTTGAGGCCTGAGTCAGCTGGGCACACGGGCTCAGGTTCAGGCGAACACCAGGCGCGGCGCATCGCGGCGCGCAAAGCGTCTCGGGCGGCGCCCTTGAAACACGGAAAAACTCGTGCAATATGGCCATCAAATTGCTTGGCGAAAAACAAATTTTTCAATATAGCAGTTAAATTATTTTTCAAAAAGAATTTCCATTTTTTTTTCACAAAAAATGTTTGTACGCGAAATTAAAGCTCGTTTCGTTTAAAAAACAAAGATTTTCTTTTTTTTTGGGCGAGAAAAAGTTTTTTTTTTTTGCGAGTACGCACCTCGACGGGGTCCAGCCGCCTCGAGTTGAGCTGCACGATGATGCCGCGCACCGGGCCGTGCTTGGTCTGCACGATGCGCGACGAGTAGCGCGGCCCGCCGGAGCAGCCCGGCAGCAGGGCGGCCACCGCCAGCACGGCCAGCACCTGCAGCAGCTGCAGCACCTGGGGCCGCAGCGTCGGCAGCGTCCGCAGCCCCCAGCCCCCAGTCGCAGTGGCGCAGTCGCAGCAGTCGGGACAGTGCCTCGGCCATCGCGGCATGATCCGGGCCAGGCCGGCAAGGCATCACTGGCCGCGGACGGAGCTGCAACAAGGAGCACGCCGTTGAGGGACGGCGCACAGTGGGCCAGAAGACCGGCGGAGGCGGCCAAAACTCTACACGCGTTCTGAGCTCAGTCGCTAAACAGGACTCGAACCGAACGTGTGACCCCACCAATGGATTGCTCTCCGAACGAGGAATCCTTTGGTGGGGTCACACGCTCAGTTTGTGTCCTGGAGCTCCAGAGTCGCTAAGCAGGACTAGAATCGAGCGTGTGACCCCACCAACGGATTCCTCGTTCGGAGAGCAATCCATTGGTGGGGTCACACGCTCGGTTCGAGTGCCATTTAGCGACTCTGGAGCTCAAAACGTGTCCGGGATTTTGACCGCCTACATCGGTCTTCTGCAGAGGCGTTGAGGGACGGCCCCCGGCTAAGAGCGGGGCGTTAAAGCGAGTTGATTGAATCCAGCCGCGCCCCGACGCCCCCCAGCTTGCCGTCCGGGTGATCCCGGCTCAGCCCCGACACGGCCGGGCTGAGCATGGCGTAGTGTACTGCCAGTGTACTGGCCGTCCCCTCCTCCGAGCGCGCGAGACCGCGCCACAGGATGCAGAGCGATGTGCGATTGGAACCGACCGGCGCGCTGATTCCGAAGGCTGTCGCTCTGTCTCTGTCGCACTCGTGAGGCGTGTCGTGCGGTGCGAGAGAGACAGAGCGACTATCTCGGCAGAGAGGTCGACGTCGAGGAGTCATATGTTCACCCAGAGGGAGGGTCCCCTAAAACAGCGCTCTTGATTTTACGTTGAAATTTACAGCCCATCTCGAATCATTGAAGCAACGTATTAAAGTGAAAAAAATTGGAAAGGGGAAAAATACCGGGTGGTGCTTGAACCCGAGCCCGGCCCAATGAAATTTGCAGCTACTCACGTCTTATCATCGTCCAGGTGGAGAGGACGTGAATTACACGGGTGAGGTAAGCCCATCAGGCCGCTTGAGGATAATTGAAGCGTCCAGAATAACGCCCTCTCACGCCACAGGCCCTCCCCCCGCCCCGCCCCGCCCCGCCCCGCCTCGCACTCCACGACAAACAACACCACACCCAGCGCAGGCTTAAATGAACTCCCCCCCTCCCCCGCCCCTGAGTGGCCAAAATAATGAGCAGGCTGTCCACTGGCTCTCCGCCTGTCACGGCAAGCGCCTAGCGCCGCGAGCCTCGTACGAAGGGCTGCGCAGGCCAAGGGCAGCACGGCCAGGGCCGCGGGAAGGACCAGAAGACCGGTGGAGGCGGTTGAAATCCCGGACGCGTTTTGAGCTCCAGAGTCGCTAAATGGAACTCGGAATGAACGTGTGACCCCATCAATGGATTGCTCTCCGAACGAGGAACCTATTGGTGGGGTCACACGTTCGGTTCGAGTGCTTTATAGTGACTCTGGAGCTCAAAACGCGTCTAGAGTTTTGTCCGCCTCCACCGGTCTTCTGGCCGACTGAGACTCCCCCTGGCCCTTGGCCGGTCCACGCCCTGCACACTATCGGCCATAAACGGCCGACGGGCTCCCCACCCCTTTTCCCAGTGCACTTACCGGGGCGCTGGCTGCTGCATGCAGCGCGGGGTGCGGCGCGTGGGCCGCGACACTGTAGGCGAGGGCAGGCCAGGCTGATCTAGCCTTTCTCCAGACTGATGCCGTGGCTCAGCCACAGCCACCGGCTTGACGAGGGTCGCTGAGGTCTGGACCGGCCGGACGACGCCGAGGCCCCCGCCGCCCCGGCCTCGGACGCCATGGCCGAGCGCTGCCGCTGGCGCCGCGGCCTCCGCCAGTCCGGCAGCACGGCCTGCGAAGCCTCCGACAGCCTCCGCCCCGACACGGCGGACACGGACCCCTTGTCGGCACGTTCTTGTCACTCTGCTGCCTGGAACAGGCACAACAAAGGTCGCCCAGTGTTACCAACAACAACAACAACAACAACAAGCGTGACAAGTAGAGCGATGCGCAACAATGACCACACCGGGTGCAACGCGTAACTCGGCCACCTCGCTCGGGTCTATATATTTTGTTTCATACATAATTTTAATTACTATCTTTGGAATGAGCCCACATACTACCCCGTATAAGGAAACGAAAAGGAGTATTAACCGAGAAATTTGAAAAGGAAAAGAAAAATTTGAACTCTACACCCCCTCCCCAGTCTTAATGGGGAGGCCTCCTGCTTTACTTCGGTGTTCGGGATGGGAACCGGTGCTATCAGGTACCTGGGGTTAATCCCGTCAGCGACCCAAGCGTTCGCCGGGGGACCCAGTAGGACCCCAAAGCTCAGGCAGTAGGGTGAGAGCACCCAGTACGAAGCTCTTTGAGGGGCGGGACGTAGAGTGAGACGACAGAGAGACAGAGAGAGACTCAGACAGAGAAGAGGTTTGGTGGGAGCTTCTTGTTTTCGTAGGGTTGGTTGTGTACCCCATGGTACCCCCACTGTCCGGCGCTCCCGTACCGAACATACAGCGTTTTAGGCCAGCTTCAAAGGACTTATCATCGCCTCCCCGACGAGTCAAGGAGGCACCACCCGCAACCACACACCGGATGGTCTGGATTGATGGATCAAATACTCCATCGCTCCAGTGCCGAGGCCAACCCGCCGAAGCGGATTGCTTTTTAGACACCCACAGCGGAGTGGCCAGGTGAATGTGACTCTGACCACTACGCTATCACGCTTGTACGTCTGGCAGCGTGTTGGACGACGGGTTTGAGTTGCACTGGGAGGAAGGCGGTCGAAAAATGTAATGAAATGATGGGATTCGATCCCCGGACCCCGCCATCGGGATCACACGACTTTACGCTCTCGGCCACCACGGCCCATGATGAGGGGACCGGCGTGAGGTGGGTTCTTGACGCAACAGGACTCGACCGACCCGGTCAAAATTTCGCAAGAAGTTGGGGGAGTCGAACCGCCGACCCTCGCACTGAGAACCGACGCCTCTACTCCCTGGACCACCACGTCCCTTGCACGGAGTGGGCTCACGTTTACGGGTTTGAACCGCACTGGGTGAGGCAGTAAAATTAAATGGAAATATTTGTTAGGAGTCGAACCTCCGGCATGTGGGCCTGTTGCACACGGCTCCGCTCTCATGGCCTCGATAGCAAGGATAGCAAGTCGAAAAAACTTTTGTGACGCTGGTATTCGAACGCCGGCCTGCGGTAACTCGATCCCACGTCTCTAACCTCTCGGCTATCACAGCAGTTGTGAAATGCGATGGATCATCTGCTTTCATTAACGTTCGTTGAATGAGATTTTTGTTTCATGATTTGCCCCCCGCGGTTTCCCAATGCCGTGGTGTTTTCATGGCCACATTCCTGTGCCGCTCACTCACACGCAGCACGCGTTGGTCGGACGCACCGCGTGCGTGGTGAAGCTTGGTGTGAGGTTGGTTGGGAGGTGGTGAGATCTGTTGGGCTGCTCCGCCCGCACCAGCGCACACACACACTACTTCACGCGCGTGTGTGAGTGTGTGTGTGTGTGTGAGTGCGTGGAGTGCGTGCGTGTGCGTGCGTGCGCCTGCGGGTGTGTTGATTTGTGTGTGCCCACGCGTGGTTATCGACCCCGCCCTCCAGCCCCCCCCCCTCTCCAACTCATTACGACTTGGCGTGTCGCGCGATATATGGTTTTCCGAAGCCCCTCCCGCTCTCTCTCTCTCTCGCACTCACGCGTGAGGGTCACTTGACGTCTCTGCGTCGGGAAGTTCAAAGTTTGCGCGGCGAATTAAAAATGACTCGAGCGCGACGACTGCAGCCAAAGGGATTCTTTGCGCGCCAAAGTTCAAACGCCCTTTCGGAACGAGCGGCATAGCCGGCCGAGCGAGTCCGAAGGGCCGCTTGGTCGCTCCGTCTCTCTCGCACCTGCACGGGGCGCCCCGCGAGTGCGACAGAGACGGAGCGACGAAAACGACTCTCGGAATGAGTCTGCACAGCGAAGCGTGGCCATCCATCAATGTCCATGCCGTCCGTCCTCGGCGCCTCATCTGCGTGGTGGCCACCCTGCAGCCCGGCCGCCCTGCCTGCAGACAACGTTTTAATAATGGTCCACTTTCGCGAGCGCCACTGCCGCCAGTCGGCAGGCCAGAATGCTTCTGCCAATGTAGGCGAGGCGTTCGTCGAGCGGAACGCGTGAAAATACGTCTGCGTGTTTACAGTTGGCACGGGATTGTTTCATGTCGGGGTTGGCAGCGCCGATCTTTTTGTTTTTGCTCACTTTGCAGTTCGTTACGGTTTGATCCAATTGCCTTGGGCTTCCATGAAATTTTCCGTGGAGATTGAGTCAAACGGCGTCATGAGGAGATCTCTGCGCAGGTCTGACATTGTAGTTGAGCTGGGTGCGGTAAGTGTTAAAGGGTTGATTACAGTCTCGGCTCGCAGGTTCAGGGCAGCAGGTCTCGGGTGTAGAGTGGGACTCTCGGGTGGCGGGGCCAGGTCAGATGCTGTACAGTAGCAGGTGGTGGGGGGAGGGGGCGCAGGCTGTACGCAGGGCGTCGGGGCCAAGCAGTAGTGACTGCGACTAGCGGGTCAGGCTTTATGAGGGGAGGGGGTCCGGAGGCAAAGAGTGAAGCGGGGTGGGGGTGAGCCACTAAGGGGGTTTAGGCCCCGTGGACCCCGTGGACCCCGCGGACCCCATGGTGGACCCCGTGGCGTGGACCCCGCAACAACAGAGCAGCCTGATCAGGTATGGACCCCGTCGTACCGGCCGAGCACTACGTTACATTCCTCCAGCCTCACTCACACACACTGACACTAACACACACACACACACACACACACACACACACTGACACAGCCACTCTCACACACACA